AGTTTTAGCTGTTGTTCAGCTTGTTCAGGTCTGTGGCCATGTTGAACATCCAGTTATAAAACCTGCTCAGTTGTCCATGTTATGTTTATTKATATTTATTATATGATATTTTGCTAACACACAGGCTGATGAAACATGAGTTTTCACAAGAAAAACATTTTTTATCTGATTATATTTTTCTGTTTCATCTGAAACTGAACTAAATTATTAGTTTTTTGATGTTTCCGGTTGTTTGAAGTTAAATTCAGCTCAGAGTGACTCGTTCTCACAAACTGACCCAAAGTTTGTCCCCGCTGGGACATGAGGACAGCAGGGGGGCCAAAGGGTCCAAGTTCTGACTGACCGTCTCAGCCCCCGCACAAACCTGACTAACCTTTTATTTGTTTTGTCTTTTTGTGTTTCTTTCAGTTTTACTCCCCTCCTCCCTACATTGGGGGGAGGGGGGGGTCAGGTTCAGGTTCTGTGGAACTGGTTCTGGTCTGAATGTAAAAAAAWGACTGAAGAGGAAGTTCTTGAGTTTACGCTCTGCTGATCAACAGCTACATGTTGGTGACAGAAACCACACAGAAGGTTCATCAGCGGGAAACAAATCCAGCAGAGAATAAATATTGTGTTTTTACTGACTTCATAAACCAGTTTGTAAAAATGTGCAGATTTCAAACCCAACCAGCTGTCAGCAGTGTCACACAAACATAATAATTATATCTTCTAAYCACTCAGCATTTCCTCCCAGGAGTTTATTTTCATGCTCACTACCTCTTTTCACTCRTGCTTCCAGATGTGTTTTTAACTTCCTGTTTTTAAACTCACACATCTGTTTGTAGCCTTTCAGTTTTACTTGTTCTGACGTTAATCAGGACTCGGCTCTGGAAGTCGTCAGGTGAGAACACGGATCTATAAATATTAAAGATTAAACCTGTTTAAAACTCATCCAGATGACAGGAAAACAAGGAAAACCAAAAATWAAAAAACATGAGCGTTGGATCGTCAAATTAAAAGTGAGTTTTAAACATTAAGAACTGAATTTAGTTGTTCAAGTGCAGCTAAATTTACTTATAATTCAAAAATCTGAACTTTGGTTTTTGTCAGATTCAGTTTGAAGACAAAGAAAATTAAAATTAGTTGTTCTTTAGTTTGATGTTATTGAAATAAAAAAAGTTTAAAATGATGTTCAGTTCAGGCCTGCTTTAAAATCAACTTGTATGATCAGTTCATCACCCTAACTGCACACTGAGACTTTTTTATTTATTTATTTTTTCTAATTATCACAAATTTTATATTAGTGTCTCCTTTAGCTGTCAAAAAAAAAACTAATGAATTAAATCAAAATATTATTTTGGGAGCAAAAAGCTCAAACTTTTATTTTCAGCACATTAGTCAGATCATAAACACAAATGTTTAATTCTGAATTGAAGCAAAGGCTCGAGGATTATTAAGCAYTGTTTTAGCTTCCTGTATCTGATAAATATAACTTATGAAGCCATGAAGTCAGTTTGAGCTGTAGTATTTTTGTTCTTTATAAGACTGCAACATCTTTTTTGCATTGCGTTAGGAAAAAAAGATATTAAACTTGTGTTTTTTACTAACCATTGTTTGTGTGTGAGAATATCTCTAACAAACATTTTGGACCAACAAATTCTGCAATAACTGAATCATTACTTGATTTTATTTGACTTTTTCTTGCTCAGTCAAAGCTGCTGCACCCTTYAATCAACACCAGAGGGCGCCAAAGCCTGGGCAGCACTTCCCAGGCCAATATTTCARTTTGTTTAAAAACAATTGTTTACATCAGGTAAACAGTATAAATCATGTCTTTAAGGAAGAATTACCAGAAAAATAAATTAGAGCTGAATCACCTTTTAGCTGTTCCTCAATATGTCAGGTTTGTGTTGGAGCTAAGATCATAACAACTTTTATCTGGATGAGTCAGCACAACCTGGTTCGATCTTTGAGTTTTAATGTCTGAATGACTCATGGCTCAGAGTTGAAGGGTTTAAACCACTGGTGTCCACAGTCGGTCCTCAAGGGCCGGTGTCCTGCATGGTTTAGGTGCTGCCCTGGTTCAACACAGCTGAACCTAAGAAGTGACTTATTAGCAAGCCTCTGCAGACCTTGATGGCAAACTGAAGAGGCCTCCTAACTCTCCTTAGGTTCCACTGTGTTGAACAAGGGCAGCACCTAAAACATGCAGGACACCGGCCCTTGAGGACAGACTGTGGACACCACTGGTTTAAACTAAAAGTTTTAGGACTTATTTTAAAATGTTGATTTCCTGTTTGGYTGAACCCTACTTCCTCCACATGAGTTTCACTTCTTTGTCTACTGCAGATAAAAAAAAACCTGCAGCATGAAACGTCCAATACCCTGCTGCGCTACACTTGTCCTCCTCCTCTCTGTGTGCTGGGGTCAAAGGTCAAACCCGGACAATGACAGGCCGTCCTGCAGTCGCTGCGACCTGCGCCTCGCCTGCAACTGCTCCCACGGTGGATTCGCTCGTGTTCCTGTGGTAACGGACAGAGCTGTGAGTCTCGATCTGTCCTTCAACGACATCACAGTGGTGACTGATGGGGACCTGACGGGCCACTCACGGCTTAAGGTTCTGGATCTCAGTGGTAACACAGACAGGATGTAAGACATGAAGCCACCTATGGGATGTGTAAATATAAATATAGACACCCCTCTGCTCCAGATAACAGATTAGCTACAATCCATTCATCGGCCTTTGACTCGCTGTGGAGCCTGGAGGAGCTGGATCTCTCTGACAACCAGCTGACGGCGCTCAACCACACCTGGTTCAAGAAGCTGGGGGCTCTGCAGATGGTCAACCTGCTCAACAACCCATACAGGTGAGGAGGTCAGGGTAGTGGGGTAAAAACTGATCAGAAACATTCATATTCACCCTCAGGCTTCTTCTCTCCAGCCACCTGGGTGCTCCTCCGTTATTCCAAGGACTCAACGGGCTGAAGAGGCTGMTGTTTGGTGGTCCGTCTCTGAAGGAGCTGAGGAGAGCCGATCTGAGCGGAGTCACTAAGCTGGAGGAGCTCACAGTGCACGCCAACAACCTGGAGAGGTTYGAAGCCAAACCCTGAACCTCCACCTGGTCCGTCAAAGCTCCCATCTTTGTCCTTTTCCCTGCAGGTATGACTCCGGAACTTTAGGAGACATTTGGCCACTGGGTTGTGTCACTTTAAGCCTCCACGGTCCGTTTTTAGCAAACCAGGCCTTGGCGTCAGYGGTGCTCAGTGACGTGTCGTACCCCGAGACTCCGATGACCCTGAAGGACCTCCAYCTGATCGGGAACGAGACCGTTCAACCCTTCAGAGCCGCCGCCAACAAGAGAATAAGGTTCATTCGCTGCAGGATTCGTTTCTAACTTTTACTSCAGAGAATGAAAGTTTTTTTGTTTTAATTGTCAAGAAAACACTTTTATTTTTCATTTCAGGTCGCTTTCCTTCCAGAACTTTTACATTTCTGACGAGTCTGTTATAGACTTCCTGGTGGCAACGAACGGTGTGCCGCTGTCCAGAATTCACGCAGAAGATATCACACTGACCGGTGAAGGCAGGTAGGACASCACAACAACCAGGTACAAAAATGCTACTTACAATAAAGGACACTGTCATGGACTAATTATTTATATCTGTTTCACCTTGACACTGTCCATCACTCGTATCTTTCTGATAGCTCATTTCGCTCTCGTAGTCTGTTTGTCCAGACAACAGGACTCCGCAATGGACTGACCACTCTTGTTYGATAAGACACCCTTTGAGCTGGGAGCCCTGTGATAGGCTGGAGAGTACATGGGGCGATCTGTGATTGGTTATAAACACGTCATATGATGTTAACATGTTATATTACTGGCTGTGGTCTGCTGACAAGTTCAGTCGCAAGCATGCAGAACTTCCTGATTCAGTTCTGTTTGTTTGTCGCTCATAATTAAACCTTAATTGATTATCACACACGCAGACTTTTCTGGTATTATTCCAACGTGTTTCTGCATTCTTGGTAGATCGTGCCACCASAGACACAAACTATTTTACGTAGTTACTCTGCACTGAGCCTTATTGCTCTCTGCCACAGTACTCTTCAGTTGGTGGTGCATCACTCCCACGACATAAAAATAGTGAGGAAGTAAACACTGTTACCACGTCATCACCACGAATGCTTCTTGAATACTAAAATAGTTTGGTGTTTTCATTCCAATAATTTCTCATTCAGGCCTGAATCTCACCCACATTAGCATTAAGGTACGTTAGCGCTGCGACAGAATGGATTTTAGCCAAAGATGACGATTCTTTTGCAACACCAGTCAAGTAGATTTTGTGTCTTCTAGTAAAACATAATGTTTACTGTATTCTGATYGTGTGAGTAACGTTTGTTTGTGGCAGGTGGGAAAAAGCAAGATGGACTGATCACAAAAGCATCGACGAGTTTTTTCTACGAAACGTGGTGCTGCTGGATGTCTTCAAGTTCACCTCGTTTCTACCGCTGAGTTTTCTGCTGCATTACCCAAGGAAGYTGTCAATCATAAATGCCATGGTAAACACAGAAAACATACCAAGACAGCTAAAACTTAGTACAGAAAATGYTAAACCTCAGGAACAACACTCCAACTCAAGTACCCATCCTTTACTGAGTTTTCTCCTTTRTGAGACCTGAAACTTGTGACTTTCACCTTCAGGTGTACGTGATGCCCTGCGCAACGTCTCATCTGCTGGTGAACCTGCAGTACTTGGACTTTTCAGACAATCTGCTGACCGACCTGACTCTGGCAGAATCGCTCTGTGAACAAAACCAAACATTAAAGGATCTCAGAGTTTTGAACATCAGTGGAAACCATCTGAAGGTGTCAACATGAGACCTAAAGTCAAACCTATGTACAATAATGCCTTTTGACATTTGTCCATTTTTCTCTAGTCTTTGTCCATGATGAGCCAACTGGTGTCAACACTCACCAAACTCACCCACCTGGACATCAGCAGGACCAGCTACAGCTCTATGCCATCCAGTTGCCCCTGGCCGACGACCCTCAGACATCTCAACATCTCCAGGGCCAAGCTTACCGCCATCACTTCCTGTCTACAAACGTCCCTCGAGGTCGGACCCTGAGGAACCAAATCAAACCATTTGACACCATCCCTTTGACAACAGGGTATTAATTTGATGTTTTATCTTTTGCAGGTTTTGGATCTGAGCTTTAATGACCTTAAAGGTTTCAACATTTTCCTRCCAGTCTTAAAAGAGCTCCACCTTTCTGGGAACAAGTTCCTGAGGTTACCAGCCGGGCAGCTTTTACCCAGTCTTCAAATCCTGACAATACAGGTGAGAAACAACCACATGTTTCTGTTTCCTGTCTGCTCTGTTACCAACCACAACATCTGTTGTGTCTTCAGTCAAACACCCTGAACTGGTTCGGTCATTCAGACCTCCAGTCCTTCAAACGACTTGAGAACCTCCAGGCGGGCGAGAACAAGTTCATCTGCTCTTGTGATTTTGTCAGCTTCCTCCAGTCCCAGTTTGAAGGCGGCGGAGACGTGAAGTTAACGGACAGAGAGGACAGCTATGTCTGCGACTCTCCCCTCTACCTGCAGGGAGACGCAGTGAGACGAGTCCACCTCTCTGCCRTTGTGTGCCACCAGGTTTTGTTCGTCTCTGTGAGCTGTGGGCTTGCTCTGTTAGTGGGGATACTGGTGTCTGTGGTGCTTTGGCGCCTCCACGCCTTCTGGTACCTGAAGATGATCTGGGCATGGCTCAAGGCCAAGAGAAGTTCCCAGAGACGAAGCAAACGTGCCGAGGAGTCAGAATCGTTACTCTCCTTCGATGCCTTTGTTTCCTACAGTGAAAGAGATGCCAGCTGGGTGGAAAACTTTCTGGTACCTGAGCTGGAAGAGCCAAGGTAATTCATTTGGAGTTGTTATTTTGRCAATATCTCTAGTCTGGCCACTGGCAGGGTCAGATAAACAATGGTGCACAGATTTAAAGTAGGTTTGTTTCTGGTTTACATTCCTACAGGGAKGATGATGGGAGTCCTGGAACCACCCGTCCATTGACCCTGTGCCTCCACAAAMGGGACTTCCTTCCTGGACAGTGGATCATGGACAACATCATGAACGCCATCGAGCGCAGCCGACGGACCGTCTTCATCCTCTCTGAGAACTTTGTCCARTCTGACTGGTGCCGCTACGAGCTGGACTTCTCCCACTTCTGGCTCTTTGACGCCGGCGGGGACGCGGCCATCTTGATCCTGCTGGAGCCTCTGTCCATGGACGCTGTCCCCCGACGCTTCTGCAAGTTGAGAAAACTCATGAGCTCCACCACCTACCTGGAGTGGCCTCAGGAGGAGGAGAGGAGGCCGGAGTTCTGGAGGAGCCTGCGTGTTGCTCTGAGAGGAGACAACTGAAAATGAGCCAAATAAATGAGCCATGAAAAGAATAAAGAGAAAGATGWGGGACAGAGACTAAAGTAATATGGAACCATATCTTGTAAGGTAACTCGTTTCTCTAAAAATGGCAGTAAATTAATTTTTATAAAGCATTGCAGTACAAGGTCATAATCTTTTTTTGTAATGTGGTAAAATGGCCACTTAGTGGAGCTGTTTGTCAGAATCTGATCTCAGAGGAAGAAGAGGAATGACTGAAGGCTTTTCTGAGACCAGGGTGGTCACCAGTGCTTTAAATCTGTTTTACTTGTTTCAACCTAAAATCATTTATTGTGCAGTTATTCTTTTGTTTCCCTGTCTATAGTTTCTACAACTAAATACCACTCATATATCAAAACTTTTGGCTTGATCAGGAGCAGTGTGCTATAACGTTTGGTTTTTGCAACATTTAAAAATTTCACATTTAAATAAACTGAGATCTCTCAGGTTCTTTCAAAAGCTTTTGACATTTGCTTCAGTGTATTGGTTATGTTTGTTTTATCCTATGTTATTTTTGGGAGCTATGGGAGTATTTTTTTGGTTACTGAGTTTAGTTTTAATTTATTTTAGCTTTAGCATCCAGTTTGCTACTTTTAGTTACTGTTGAGCTACTTTGAACTTCATTGAAATAATTCTCAAACTGTATTGGTCTGAGAGAAAAACGCAAATGTTTGAAATGTGACAAAAATCAAAAAATCTTTTTTAAAAAGTAAATATAAAAGAAACAACATCTTGCTCCTTTTTCCAGCAGCTGTTAAATGTAGAGATGTTTCTAATCGTCCTGAGTTAGCAGCTTTTTTAACTAAACTAAAAAACACAAGGACATATTATTCAAAACCATTTGGCAGAGAGAAAAATTGACCATCAGTCTTGCAGTTTGTGTTTGACCTTATTTAACAGGAAAAAAGTTTAAAAAAATAATAATAATACAAAAATTAGGAGAACAAGAAAGTTTTAATAAAATTCCAAGTTGAGACATTGATCAAAAAGGATTTCCATTAATTCTGAAATTTGTGATTTTACAAACATGCTTTAGATTAAAAAACAGTTCATCACTTTAAGATCAGTAAAAAAAATGTAAACAAAGGAAAACATTTAATTTAAAATACAGTGTCACTGAATCAGATGCTGGAGGCACCAACCCATCCATTAATCAGAAGATGGATGGATCTGATAGTTTTGATTAAATGAAAACAAAGCAATAAAATGTAAATAATGAAACTTAAAGTAAACTGAGATTTTTGTATTTGACAAAGAAAACCCAAATAAGTGTGAACAYGTTCAAACATCATCAACATGCTTCTTCCTGCTGAAGCAAACAGAAGTCTTGTTCCAGGCAGTCAAACTGCGTTATTAACCACCAGGTGCATCATCCCAGGACAGAGCAGCTAATCCTGGAGGAGGACTGAAGACGTGACAGCACACAGAGGAGTGAGCCATCTGAGAGAAACAGATACTCCTTTTACCTGCTAATGATAAATCTCCAAGTTATTACTCTGAAATAAAACATTTGACTGAAGCATCAAAACTAAACTGTTTGTTCTTTTGTTACCAAAACTGGAAACAAATGAGCTCAGTTCTGCTTCTTGACCTAACCTGTGGGAAAATACAGGAAGTCCAAAGAAACCTGCTTTAATACCAGCCGTCAAGGTTCGTCCTCAAAATACCTTCATCGCCTGCGTTCACCAACGTTTGCTTTTTCAAAAGAGCGTTCACAAAAACAACAGCTGATCATAATATTTAAAAACTAATATTGTAGCAACATTTAAAAAATAATCAAATTATATTACCTCTTAATGTTGTTTAACTTAATGACAATAATTGTTCCTAAAGGAGAGAAACCAACCATCCTATTAATTTGTTTGTCCACCATAAGATAGTCTTTTAATCTTAGCTTTAAAGATCTGATTTAAATGTTCTTCAATTTGGACTTCCGCTTCCGGCATGCCTAAGTAAAGACGCTTGTAGACCGCGCTCTGACCGAGATAACTCCTAATTTGCCTGTTGTGAAAATATAAATCCACCTATACATCCAAAAAACATTATTATAATGACTTTGACACAAAAGAAAGAAATTGACTCCAACTAACATTACAGAGTACAGATAAGACACTGTAATGTTAGTTGGAGTCAATTTCTCTAAGTTTTTGAAATATTGAATGTCTGGACCTGGCCTCATCATGTATTTCATGGTTACATGAAGGTCATCTGGAGAGTGTTTGTTACAGATTTGTTGCAGATGCAGTTTAGCTTTTTGCAAAAGTTCTTCTCCTATTTTGGCTGGAGATTTGTTTGGGATCTCTAATGTGTAGTAATATGTAGGGGTATCATGGCCTTCTAACACCATGAGAGATTTCTTTTCTCCTAATCTTTTTACTGTTATTCCATCAATGGTAGGAACAAGGGATAGTCCTAGATTTAGGAGTCCATCTCGACCTAACAGATTTACTGGACAACTGGGCATTATAAGGACGGACATCTGACATGATTTTCCATGTGGATCTCTTCTCCAGATGGGACAAGATTCAGGGATTCTTCGTAAATGTCCCTGTGCTGATCTTACTAGAATGGAGGTTGTGCTCTGTTGCACACCCTGTATTGGTTGTGTAAGTGTGGTTCTACAGGCGCCACTATCACACAGGAACACTACATCTTGTCCGTTTACTTTTAATGTTACTTCAGGTCTAATTTTTTTCTTCAAATAGATGTCTTCCAGGTTCATTACTTCTGTCTCTGCCTCACTTTCTTTTTCTTCAGAACAATTTGGTTCTAGTCACGCAGAACTAGAGGGGTTATCTTGAGGATAAGTCCTGCAATCCCTAGCCATGTGTCCTTTTCCACAGGACCAGCAAGCCCTGGGATTTCTCATGCCCCTAAAGGGTCCTCCTCTTCCTCTTCCTCTGTTTCTTCCTCTACCTCTTCCTCTGATTTGTGGATTTTGCCAATAAATGGCCTGTTCGTCATCTTCAACCCAGAAAGTTGCTTTCTCGGTTGGTTTAGAGCTCTTTTTGTTTTTCGTCACTCTTTCAGCATGAACTGCATGTGTCAGGTAGTCTGACAACGTTCCATTTGGGAGTCCTATATAATGTTTAGACACCCAGTGGTGTATTTGCTGGGTCGACCCTGCATGTAATGCATTTTTTTAACTGTTGTTTGTATGGTCCATCTTCATGACCATCTTCACGCAGCCCACTGTGGGCTCTGAAGACTTTAGTCATTCTGACTCTATAGTCATCAAATGGCTCATCGTCTTTTTGTCTACAACGTCCTATTTCAGTGTAGTCCGCTCGCTGCCGAAATCTCAGTCTGACACGGTCATTTAATTCTTGGGCTCTCTGATTTAATGCAGTACTATTTGGGGCCAGAGGTGCAGGAGGGTTTTGCTGATCATTTGGATCATAACTGCCTCTAACCAGGTGCCAGGCGGCACCCATGATACACATCCATACCTGTTGTAACTCTACTCCATTCAGGTGATAGGATGCTCTTAGATTATCCACACCCTGAATGCATTGTTCAACATCTTCTTTGGGGGGTGGTATGCCTTTACATGCTTTTTTAACATCTTCTTGGGTCCATGTTCGGTAAACAAATACCTGCTCTACCTCCCTCCAGCAGCATCAACTTGACCCATCATCGGGTGGGGGAGTGCTATCAATGGATAAATTTCTGATTCTGATTGATTACCACCTGAAGGTTTAGGGAGAGTGGGGGAAAATACGTTTCCCATTGTTTTTGACCAGTCTCGTTCTTTTCCATGGCTTCTTGTTTTTATTGGTGTGTTTCGATAAGGAGGAGGAGGCGCGGTTGGTGCTGCTGCTTCCTCTTCTTCTTCTTTGAGTGGAGGATTTTGAATTTGATTTATTAATAGTCTGTAGGGGGAGACTACTACTTCATTGTCCTCCTGTCTATTAAACATTTGCTGTTTAGTTTGTA